GTGACGCATTAAAGCGTGCCTGCGCACGATTCAGACCGAGAATGGAGGCGATCATTCAAGCAAGCGGGGGATATATTGAGTGAATATATTATTTATGGCTTTACAAACAATGGAGCTAAACAAATTTTGTAAATCTTTTCATTGTAGCAATAAAACATATTTAGAAAAACATATATAATTTGTCCGGATTTTGGCGCCGCACCCTGTACATATCGCCCCTGTATATAATTATCCCCGTAGAATAAGAATTAAAACAAGACGACCGCATTGCTGGAAATTGCCCCGCGCTACCGAATAGTCTTTATCGCGTTATCTTCCCGCCGACGGCGAACCGCACCGCATTATGACAGGAGCACTGCCGTGCGACGATCTAATTCCGTTTACTCCGACGATAACTCATGTAAGCACTTTACCGCACTGCCTGTAAAACCAATTCGATTCAGCAAATAAATCTTTGATACATTACAGTAACCGAGTGTCGCAATTTTACGCCTTCCCTTCCCCGATCCTTGGCGCCGACCGAGCTGTCCGGCAGGCGGAAGGCCGGGCAAAGCCGAACGGAAATCGGCTCCGTTACAGAATTTATCTTTTTTATCCCTACATTAATAATTTTTAATTTCAGCTTTGATTGTGGCAATTTCACTACTTTATAAGTTTCTCCTAGTTTAGCTTGAACTGAATCTTTCAATTTTTTTACTTCCTCTCCAGTTTTACATCCCATTATTACAGTTCCCTTGCTTCTTTTTTTTCAATTTCGTTGCTCCCATCGACATATTCTTATTATCCACTTTTTCTTTTATTGGCTTTTTTGTGGTTTTACTCTCCTGTTCTAATTTTGGCTTCACAATTATAATATTTTCTTTCTTCATTTCTTTACCTGCCTTACTGTAGCTTCTTCGCGTTCCTGACGCTGGTTTGTGCACTACTCCCTGTATCATTCTTTTTAGATTTTTTAGTTCTTGTTTAACGTTTTCCAATTTCTCTCGAACTATTTCTTTAATCATCATTTTCATTTCTTTCTTACAGGTTATTTCATTTTTTATTTCTTTCACAGTTCTTATAAGATAATCTATTTTTCCATCAATGCCAGTCGATCCACTCATTCCTGATGATTTATTTCCACTACTCGGTGAACGATCTCGCAGAACCTATAGATCCTGTAGATCCTGTCCTATCCCTGCTGCTTCCTGTCGTCATTGGCGCTTTCTTCATATTTGCTTCTTGGTCGTTTTCAACGAAAAACTCTTCAAATGGACCAGCACACGGCACCACTTCTCGGTTTCTATCATAAACTCTATGTTTACATACACATCCCGAATGGTAAAAAAGTCTGACACAAGACCTACACTTAACAACTTTGTTTTTGATTGCCTTCTTACATGCCGAACATCGGTATTCTGCATATTCATTGTCCATGCCGATAATTACCGATAAAAATTGTTAATATCAGCGTAAGCGATCATTCACTTTGTGATCTACTTACACACGTCAGCATTCTTGTGTTCACGTAAATTGTCTACTTGTCTTGCAAGACTTTGATGTCCCGAACAAAAAATGCACGTCTCACAACCATTATTGAGCATATCCTGGCTAGATAATACTCATAATTACTCACTTTCTATGGCTCTATAAGTTAAACCACTTGTTACTTGTGAGAGAGTTCAAAAGAGAGTGAAAGAGATTAAAAGAGAGTGAGAGAGAGAGAGACAGAGACAGAAAGACAGAGCAAAAAAGAGAACCTAATGAAATATATAGTATATTCTGTATAATAATGTAAAACGTGATGTTTGAAATTCTTTTGGTTCTTTGCACAACCTTAGATTTTATAAAAAATGTAGTCAAGAATCAAGTAACTTCCACTACACGACATAAAAATTGTGAGTATACAAATACAGGTGTAACTAATATTTTGAATTCAATTCCTGGTATTAATTTAGAGAAAAATTGTTATGATCTAAACGATTTATTAAATCTTACTCTTCCTCGTTGGTGTGTTTCAATGTGTTGGTGTCAATTAACATATATAACACTTTATGTAAAACTTGTAAAGAGAATGGAATGAGATATTTAAAAGAGAATGAACATTACCAAAAGAAATTATTATTCATTTTCTATTATTTTCACCAGAAGATAGGACAGTAATACCAGCAAACAAATGTAATCTATGTGCTATACCAAAAACTAAAGTATCAGTAGATGGAGAGCTGTTTAAAGTAATAAATGCTATATTTAAGAATGGTCTGTGTATTGAAAAGAGTCATTATATAAGTATGTGTAGAGATGGAAAATCGATCTGGCACAGAATTGATGATATGCAAATTAGAAAACACCACTGGCCTAAAGGTGCTACAAATGTTTATATTCCTTTCTTGGAAAAAATAAAAAAATAAATATTTTATTATTGTTAAAAATTGAAAAAAAAGAAAATAGAAAAGAAGATAAATTTGAAGATAAACGTATATTCTACAAAATGTGTGATATCTTGAAAAACTTACCTGTTTAAAAAAGAGAAAAAAGTCTCCAAGTACACGCCAAACAAACATATCTTTCTTTACAAAATCTGTTTTACAAAAGAAGTGATATCAAAAGTAGCACCAAGTACACTTGTGTACATTTTAATTAAAAACATTATATATAAAATAATATATATTAATATATATTAATTAAAACCATTATATAAGAACTAAATAGTATAAAATCATTGTATCAATAGTTAGACTGTGCTTTTTGTGAAAAATCGAAACATAAAAAATAATTAAGGCAAAAAAACTTGGCGTGGCTGCACCAAAAACTATAGCACACGTGTTTGACCTGCGCGATTTTTGTCACATACAAAACCAAACCATTGCACTAAAAGTGAAATAGTTCTTATATTAAGCAAATGCAAACTTTTGGTAAGATTTTCACTTTTCTTTGTCTGGTTTAGACAGAACAATGCTATTTCTCTGAAAGTATTTATATAAAATTAATCTTTCATTTTTACATTGACGATAAAGTCTATGTGTACATGAAAACAAAAAATTTGGTATAATTTACTTGAAATATATAATTCACGAGCAGAGAAATTTACGTAATTTTAATAAAATTTGCAATTTTCATGACATTTTAAGATAAATACGTTTATATCATAAAAGCATCGTTTCACGCACTATTTTTTGTAAGTATATAAAGCACATGCATTGCTAACTTGATACAGTTTTCTTAATCTATTGCAACATAATACCTGATTGTATAGAACTTTTATTCGACTTGCCATGTTGATATTTAATTTTCCTGAAGTTTTTTGGTATCCGTTGATGTCAAATCTGTTGATATTGTTTATGTTTTCATCACTCTTCGTATTTTAGTTTCCTTTCAACCTGGAAAAATAGAAAAAAGACAGAGAATATACTTTATTTACGTTCAGAATTTGCCAAGTTATTTTCTGAGATATTATTACAAAATAAATAATCTCCATAAAACTGTTACAAACAATGGTTAAAAAACCATTATTTTGAACTTGTATACTTTTGAACACATAAAAGATGTCTCATAATTGCCGTTTCACCGCTCGTAGGCAAGAAGAACGTAGGCAAGGTTATTCTAAGACAAAAAGTCCACTTGGAAGTACCACTTTGGAAGATTCGCAGTAATTAACGAGATATGAATTAATAAAGATCCGCTAATCAGCGTGCATCCAGCGTAAGGGGAGCGTGAGGACAGCCTAGTCTTTCGCGCGGACGCGCCGTTGCGGTGGGAGGAGCTAATAGAATAGCATGTGCATCTATACATAAACAGCAAATAAACTGCGTTCGGGGAGCGCGCTATCCGCGAGAAAGTCTAGACTGTCCTTACGCTCCCCTTACGCTGGATGCACGCTGATTAGCGGATCTTTATTAATTCATATCTCGTTAATTATTGCAAATCTTCCAAAGATATAGGACTTTTTGTCTTAGAATAATCCCTTCTTTTTGCCTACGAGCGCGCGGTGGGACACCCTGTATATATTTTAATAAAGTTTTTCTATAATAACTATTTTTTATGTGATTTCCTTGAGTTTGTAAGTAACGATATTTCTCATAGCGTAGAATTTAACGTTACGTTCTGACCTGGAGCGCAAACAGTCTGTTTTCCTATTCTTTTATAGAAAACACGGAGATTCTGCTATGTGAGAATTGAGCAAGAGTTAAGTGAATCTGTTTCTTACTGTTTGCAAATGTGTCAACAGCGCGTGTTGATACTTTGCTATGCAAACTCTTACTTGTTGGTCTTTTTTGAGACTACCTAGGAATGAAGAGGCGTGTTCTTTTCGACCACAGTACGATTTGACACCAAATTATTGGACACAAAATTATTCGACACCACCTTACTCAACACCAAATTATTCGACACTGTATGATTTGACACCAGAATATTTGAGGAGGAGGTGCACTTGGACACCGTTTAGTTGAACATGATGCAATTAGACACGGTGCAAATAGACATAGAATTTTAGACACGGTTCAATTAGACACGTTGCATTTGGACACGGAAGAAAATGCGCACCGTTCATTTAGACACAAAAAAATACGCACCGTTCACTTGCGCACCGTTTGTTTGTACACAGAAAGATGCGCACCATTCACTTAGACACCGAAATAATGCGCACTGTTCACTTAGACACCGTAATAATTTGCACCGTTCAAGTAGACACCGTAATAATGCGCACCGTTCACTTAGACACCGTAATAATGCGCACCGTTCAATTAGATACCGTAATAATGCGCACCGTTCAATTAGACACCGTAATAATGCGCACCGTTCACTCAGACACCGTAATAATGCGCACCGTTCACTTAGACACTGTAATAATGCGCACCGTTCGCTTAGACACCGTTTATTTGCACACTGTGCAGAAGGACACTGCTTATCTAGTAATCGTACAGTTGTACATCGTACTGCGCGGGCGCATCCAAAGATCCCGGTGCAAGACTCGCAGACTTAGCGAGGGACCAACGAAGAGAAGGGGGCGAGGAGGAGGGGCGGAGCCCCTCCCCCTTGAGGAGCGCAGCCCCCTGTGCCTATATGCTTACTACACAGTGTAAAAAACTGGGCTTCTGCACTGCGCATCCTTTGGATGCGTCTGCGCAGTACAGTGTACAACTGTACAGTTACTAGATAAGTGGTGTCTTTTTGCACAGTATGCAAATAAACGGTGTCTAAGTGAACGGTGCGCATTATTACGATGTCTAAGTGAACGGTGCGCATTATTACAGTGTCTAATTGAACGGTGCGCATTATTACGGTGTCTAATTGAATGGTGCGCACATGAACGGTGTCTAAATAAACGATGCGCATTTTCTTTCGTGTCCAAATGCAACGTGTCTAATTGAACCGTGTCTAAAATTCTGTGTCTATTTGCACCGTGTCTAATTGCAACGTGTCTAATTAAACGGTGTTCAAGTGAATGCCACTCAATATTTGATACCGTAAGATTCGATACGATACTAATGGACACAGACCAAGTGACAAGCAATGTGCATCATTACAATTAATGATAGTAGTAACGCAGTTAGGTTAGGTTAGGTTGTGACCGGACAGTTAAACCGTTTGACTAGCTTTTACGGTCGCCACCTGCTTTCACCGCCAAGCAGGAAGGAACTAATCCCGTACTTGTATGTTTCAGGGAACGGACTCACTAGACTTCTGGTCTTGCCCCACCGACTCTTCTGGTTGAACTCTCTTGGACCAGTTTACTTCGCAAAGCTCCACCGACAGGAAACAGGAATCTCGACAACGTCGTGAGGTTTTACCACACAGGTAAGTACAACGTTTAAGTGTTACACACTCGGGTTTTAACAAACACACCCACTATTAGTTCATTGCAAAACAGAATGTTTATTAAACAATAAAACTGACAGTCGTTTAATAAATTCTTACACGTACTCTTTTCACGTATGCTAAACACTTTGAGCAGGACTCGTTGTTATAGCGCTATGCTTCACCGAACGCTCGATTCCAACTAACTCGAGGAACGCTTGGCCTCTCCAAAAAACCTCGCCTCTCCCATTACACGTCCGCGCATGCGCATACGCTGGTAAGAATAAAACCTTCTGAATTATAGGAAATTTTGATTGGAGTCGTTTATTCAGTTGTAAATAAACGCTCCTGACCAATTTTATCAATAATTATAATTTTAGCCAAAGTTAGGAATCTTGCCAAACTAACACTTTTACCAGACTGCGTAAACTTCCAAATATTAGTAATTTTGACTAATCACGTTTTGTTTCTTTCAGAAAATTCCATTCTTAGATTCTCACTCACTTTTCCTTCCTCAGATGGAGTTGCCATTGGACGAGTCATCCCGCTGGACTAGGTAAGTATGAAACCCAAACATCTGAATTACCGTTAAAACTCAGCGATTTGTCTCTACCAATGATAACTCGTTCACTCACACAATACCACTAATAATTACACCTTTTTTGTTTTAGGCCGAGTCACCGATGGACAAGGACTTCAACCAGGTAAGTGTTAAAAGTCACTAACCCACCAATTATTAAAAACAACTGGTATGGAGCCTTCTCCAGCGAAGCTCTCTCAAACCTCGAAATACCACGCATAATTCTAATTTCGCCTTTTCTTTACTGGTGCTATCGATCCCTGAAGACCTACCGGATTTAAGGTAAGTATAACGCGTCGATTATTGTCAAACTTGCCGTATCGCTTCCACAAAAGATGCTTTTTACGCACGCCAAATATTAACAATAATCTAACTTTCAGCGGGAGGTAGTCTTCAGCGCAGCTGTCTCCAAACACGGTTAGTACCTAACATTTTAATTATTGATGAAACTCGTCTAAACGTCTAATCTCAAGGAGAATAGTACGGACAAAATCTCATCAATAATTACCAACTTAAACTTAGGTGTTACAGATAGACACATCAAAAACACATCGCAAAGAGATACACCACACTGAGGTAAGCACACTAAATTTGTTGAATTATGTGAAGTACTTCGCCCAAGTCTTTCTCTTACAACCACCCACTCGCACACGCAACGCCACTGACAACTGTACTTCCAGGTGATGTTAGTCGACGGTGGACAAGACTACCTGAGGTAAGTCTAACCTCGTAATTATTGCTTAAACTCGGGGAAACGTCTTATCCAACGTAGACCCGCACGCGTATCAAATCTGTTTACTCTTATTACTTTTTATTTTTTTTCATCTCGGGCTAGATCGTTTCCGGGTAACGCACTGTACCACAGTTGGTCTGCCCGGCCATAGCGAACATTACATTCGCACCTCTACTATTCTTTTACTCTTTTACCTTTTACTACTCCCTCATACGTGGAGTCTAAGTCATATCCGGGTTACCTGTACGCGTCACCTCCGTGTAAAACAAGACACTTTACTAACTTCCTTTTTTGTTTCAAGTAGCGACCAGACTATCCCGGGAGAATTGACACACAACCCTGCCAGACGAGGTAAGTATACCAAGATACTAACCCTAATTACTGCTCTTCTTTTCCAGGTCAGTTTCCCTTATGGTGAATAGTCAATTAACGCAACTACACGAATAATTACCAGGTTAGGTTTTACAAGTTAGTACCTAACTTTCCAATTATTGCTCATACTTAGTCAGATCAACGCTTAAACCAAAACAAGCTTACTTACAGAGTTACAATCATAATTACGCACTGCTTCGCAAACAAGTGTTTCCTTTGACATTAAATGTCAGTTTGGCGAGCGGACCTCAATCTAAATGGGTCACTCTTAAACAAAATTAGCATAAATTTCTAGTTCCACTGGGCATTATGCACCCTGGACAAAGTACGTTACAAGGTTAAATATGTATATCTAAGCACGTAACTTTGCCTGATCTAAACAATAACAAAAAAGAAAAACTCCTTGATCTGGATATACATGTACGCACAAACACTGTCTACGCTAGCTTGTCCTTATCGAGGTGTCCCTTCACACTCGACGATCCCTCCGGAACGGGACCCGTCACCCCCAAATCCGTCGGTCGCAAAGTTAGGTTAGATTAGGATAGAATAGGTTAGGTTTCCTCCTCCACCCACTTCGCTGCCAAGAGAAACATATATAGAGAGGAAAAGCGCTAGCCCCTCCTCTTCGAGAGGTCAAGCCCGAGGGAACCCGCGTACATCCTGAACAAGGCATTTTCGGCTTCCTCCCTGTCAAGAGCCGAGAAAACACCCCGTGAGGTTTTAGTGGGTACACCTCCCACTCCTGACCATCTGAGCAGGAAGGGAGAGATTCCCACATAACCCTGGCCCTCACCCCTGAGGATCAGAGTATCCATAAAGAATTTCTCTTACGTAAAAAAAAAAAAAAAAAAAAAAGGGTGTCCTCCTCCAGGGCAATTTGAACCACTCTCGCG